TGTGAATAACAGATACTCCCTCAACCCCTTGCCCTACCACCTGGGGATCTAGGGACAGAAACTCCCAAACCCCAGTTCTTCCTGAGGTCAAGACTCTCTTTGCAGTCTATGTTTGCATGCCTCTGGGGATGGGCCTCTCACCCCCTCCATGGACACCCCACTTCGGACACACACAGACACATTCACACACACACACACACACACACACACTCACACACACTCACACACTCACACACACTCACACACTCACACGCTCACACACTCACTCACACACACACTCACACACTCACACACTCACACACACTCACTCACTCACACACACACACACTCACACACTCACACACTCACACACACTCACACACACACACACACACACATACTCACACACACGCTGAAAGCTGCCTCCTGGGCCCTTCCCTGTCCCAACCTACTTCTGGACAACTGTTTCCACCAGCCAAGCCCCTTCTGACCCTTGGTCTCCCTTCTGCCTGCAGCCTTGAGGGAAATTCTAGGTCTCACTAGAGCTAATGGATGGGAGAAAACGTGGGGAAGTTTTCTCTTGTGACTCAGTGTCTCCTACTTGCCTCATAATGGGACTGAATCCCAGAGGGACAGAATTTAAAAAGCCCTCATGCTACAGCAGTCCAAGGTCACCACCGACAGGCAGGAGCTGGGCCAGAACCAAAGCCCAAGGTCCTGGTCCCAGTTTCGCTCCTTTCACACCTCTGCTGCTTCTCTCTGGTTCAGGCCCAAGCCTCGCTTGTCACCCATCACACCTTAGTCAACAGGTGTGCAGGTGTGAGTCTACAGCAGATCAGTTTGGATGATGGGGGAGAGCCGTCCCAGGGAGCACGGGGCCCAGTTCCCGCCCGGGTTCCCCTCAGCTCCTGGGGTCCCGGGGTACTCACTGCTGTAAGCCAGGATAAACCTGCCGCACTCCTCAGAGTGGTTGCCCAACGGGTCCGTCATGTTGACACTGAAAATGTAGTCGGCCATGAAGGAGGACATATCCATGTGGCACATGTACTTGGCATGTGTTGTGTTGTGGGTGGACCGGTGGAGGCTGCAGGAGGTGACCTCATCCTCCAGATCTTCTTCCAGGTCTTGCCTTTAAGGACAGAGCAGCTGGTCATGGCTGGAGGCCGGGGCGGGGCTCCATGCACAGGGTCAGGGCAGAAGCCCAGGATCATGGGAAGGCGGGACTTGAGGTGGAATTAGGGGGGGTCACCTAGTCCAACCAACCCTTTCCCAGGAAAGGACTCCCTCCCCAGAAGCATCCCTGATGGATTGTGTGCAGGAACTCACTACCTCATTTAGGGCACCCACTCTCAACTTTGGAAATGTGGGCCATTCCTTCCTGGACCAAGCTTAAACCTGTCCCTGTCAGTTCCATCGTCTGAATCACGGTCCTCCCGGAAGAGCACTAAGCATTTCAGATCTCCTTCCCTCCCTGCTGCCGCCCAACACCCACTGAATACCTAATAGGTGCCTGTGCTGAAGGTCCAGATAGGGCCAAATGAACCCCCTTCCCTTCTCTGGGTGAACCTCCAGGGAGACTGTTGATATGAGGGTGGAGAAAATGCTCTGGCTTTATAACTCCCACTGGGCGGAAACAGTGGGGCTTTGAAGTATGTATAGGAATTCACCAGCTACTGATTTCCCTGCCTACAAATTCAGGCTCTGAACAAAACCACCCTCCAGGGCCAATACAGATGTGTGGACTCAGATCTCAGTTAAGTATTTGTTGGAATAGAAACCTCTCCTGAATGAATGCTCTCCAAGTGTCCTGCCTGGGCCACAGTCATGGCCATCTGGCGGTGTCCTGGCCTTGCCCGCCCTCCCTGCAATCCACCCCACCTGCACAGCAGCTAGCAGGGGTATTTAAAAACTTCCTGTCACTCCCCTGCCTGCAACCCTGCAATGGCGTCTCATCGCCCACACAATAGAATGTGGCCCCTGCCAACCTCTCGCCTCCTTTGTTTGTTATTCTCCAACACGCTGGCTCACTCCGCTCCGGCCACACTGACCTCCTCATTATTCCTCAAACTCGGCAGCAGTTCCTGCCTCAGGGCCTTTGCACGTGCAGTGCCCGCTGCCTGGAATGCCCTTTCCATGGCTTACTAGCTGCCTCCTTCCCAGCCAGAGAGGCCAGACCTGACCACCCTGGCTATAATAGGCCCTCCCTCATGTCACTCACTCTCTACCCCTGGCCCAGCTTCCCGTTCTTTATAGCATGTGTTGTCCTCAAGAAGCATCCTGTTGGCTGTTGAGTGTTTATCATCCGTCTCCCTAGCCAATTCCACTGCAGTGGGTCCCCTCCAGGACACCTTTGACCTCATTAGTTTTGGGCTCTGCTGAGCCCCCAGTGCCTGGAAGGAGGAGTTTAACACTTGTGTTCTGAATGAATGAATGAATGAATGAATGAATGATGATGGAATGAACCCAGCTATTCCTTATCCTGAGCAGCATATTGACAGCATCTCTCCTTGACCAAACTCTGCTCAGGCTCCTCTGAACTCCGTCAACTAGACCCTGACTTTGGCTTCGGTGTTTGTCTCTGCACTGTCTCCTTTGAGCAAGATGCCTGCTTGGTCAGTTGAGCCAGGAGCCCCCACCCCCAATAACTGAGCTGGCTCCCATCCTCCACCAGGCCCAAGGGGGTATCTGATTCCCCTGAGCTGCCATCAGCAAGGGTCCTGTTAGGATGGTTTAGCCAGAGGCCCCCTCACCCCTGATGTTTCCCCTCAGTTATTTTCCATCCACTGAACCCACCTGCTCCTTGGTTATAAATTCCCACTTTTCCTTGTTGTATTTCCCTTGTTGAGAGAGAAGCAGACCCATCTCTCTCCCCAACAGCAAAACTCAGTGCAGTGGTCCCTACACCTGTCACGATGGTCTTAAACAAAGTCTTCCCTACCACCCTTTAACAAGTGTCAGGAATGATTTATTCTTTAACAATATGGACTAAAATGGGCCCATGGATTGTGACATCAGGCTGCCTGTGTTTGAATCCCAGGTCTGCCATTCACTGGCTGTGTGGCCTTGGGTAAGTTGCATAACCTCTCTGAACTCGTGTCCTCCTTTCTAAAACAGGAGTTGTAATGGTGACAACTGGAGGTGATCAAGCACAGAGCAGGCTACCTGGCATGTACTCAGTGCTTTAAAAAATCGTGTGGGGGTCCCGTCATCTCGGGGTCTCAAAACCATAGTCAGGTCTGTGTGGGTGAGAGAGTATGGCCTTTGGGTCTGGGTAGAGCTGCCCAGTGGCCTCGCAAATCATGCTTTGGACACGTCCTGTGAGCCCTGTGTGGTTGTCTGTAAGACAAGAACAGTGATTCCCAGCTCCCAGTCTTTCTTGGGGTGAAACCAAATGCTGTTGGTGAAATCGCTGAGTGAGTTCCTAGGAAGTGGCAGCTGTTATTTTTATTGCTAAACTACCTGCCCGGCACACAGTAGGTCCAGACTCAGTCTGTGGTCTTCTGCAGTCCTGCTCCAGGGCGTGCTACCCTGAGGTGCAGCCCCAGGGCTAGGGAGGCCCGGCCACTTACCAGGTGAGGGTGAGCGTGCCCGGGGGGAGGGTCCACGTCTCCAGGATGCAGGTGATTGTCTGGAGGTAATCACTGTAGCAGACAAGGTCTGAGCAACCCCAGGCTGGGAGGTGAGGGGAGAGAGGGAGAGAGATTGGTGGGGGGCTGTGGGGCTCCTCATTCCCTCACAGTCCCCAGGGCTGGACAATGAGTGGAGGTGGGGGTCCCAGGGCCAGGATGAATATGGCAGCTCAGGGTCCACTATGATGTGGGCCTGGGTAAGGTGGTCCCTGCCACCTGAGATCCCTTTATTTGAGCCCCCAAAGTTTCCAGGCTGGCTATGGCAACAAGATACTCCTAATGGGAAACAATAAAGTAAGCGGGACCCCCCTCAGCTCCCCATGAGCCTCATGTCCAGCCACCAGGTCAGGGTCCCTCCTGGCCATTGTCCCTCTTGGGGGGGGTGCATCCTGAACTCCCCAGGTGCAGGGCGAACCCACACATCACTCCGAGAGGCATTCATGAAGTCAAGGGGAGCACTGATGAAAACGCCTCCGTCCCTGACAATGGAGGAGCCCTCTGTCCATGGCAGCTGGTCCGAAGCTGGACACAGACCTCAGAGATGCCGCAAGCGCTTCGTAGAATACGGAAGCTTCAGAAAACCCAGAAGCCTTCGAATGCTTTTGCCACAATGTCTGTATTACCCCTGCTGCCCAGACCAACACCACCACCAGCAAGTGACGCATGGATTGCCCACTCAGGCAGTTTCCTTGACAGAATTAACACGCTCCCACCCCCCAACATTTGTTGCTTTACTTTGTTCTAAAAACATAGGAGCGATCATAATCTACATCTTGTTCAATGTTAGACAAAATAAATTTCATAAGTTTTAATTTTGTTTTATGAGATCAAGTGCCAATGCTGTTGTCCCCCCCTCCCCCCATTTACCAGAAATTTGCTCCTTTTTTTTTCAGTGGATTCATTTTTAGTGGCTTGTCCCTATTTTCTCTTACTGGGCCTCCCTCTCTAAGTCAGACGCTGGATGTGGAGCCAAGAACACGGCAGCTAGAACGTCCTTTCGTCCACTCCCACCCACATGTTCTAGACAAGAACACGGAGGCTCCGAGACCACATTCCACCTATTGTCTCTCTCGGTCTGGGCTGCTGAGACTCTCACCCAGGAAATCGAATCTGGGCTAGTTCCTCACATCCACACATGTGGCAGACACTGCTAATCGATTGTGACACTCTGTCCCCTGAGTAGGGCCTCAGAATCCTTCTCAACACAGTTCTCCCAGCAGCCACGACCGGGGGACCTGAGTCATGGAAATGAATCCTGCTCTAGGAGGCGGCTTCCCTCGGGGAGGAGCACAGGGCCAGTCGTGGGGGGCTCTGAGGGGCTAGTTCAGCACTTAGTGGAGAATGGAGGACTACAGAAGACACTGCATGGCTGTGTGTCCCCTAAGTTTACATTCTGCCAGTTCTCTCTCAGAGCTTCAGAGCTTGGAGAGGAGCTGCCATTCCCAGCTGGGCTCAAGGCCACCAAGAGACAGGGTTTGTCCCAAACTGGGAATGAAACATTGTGGAGGGGACAGCAACCTCTAAACTAGCATGGAGGTGGCATCAGGGAACAGAGGGAATAAAAGCCCAGTCACCTGGTCAGTACGCTGACCCTGAGCAGAGAGCCCAGGAGCCATCCTGGCCGGGGGTTCTCAAAGCGTGGACATATCCCTATGTGCAAGCTGGGGACACTGGCCCCCTTGAAGGATCACACCAGCACAGCCCATGCTGCCCGCATGCTGCATTCATTCAATAAAAACGGCAAAGCCAGGTGAAACCACGGGAATCAGGCAGATTTGGGGACTGATCCCAGCTGTGGACATGCCCCTTCTCTCTGAGCTTCAGTTTCCTCAGCTGAGAATGGGGCATGATTGCAGCATGGACCTCACGAGGCTGTCGGGAAAATGGCATGAAATGCTGCTCAGCTCCCAGTACACAGTAAAGGTTGTTATCTGTGCCTGCAGGGTGACCTGAGGACCCATTAGAGCCAGGACAAAATGCTGGTCACTCAGAAAGGGAAAATAAAGGAGCCCGACATCGGTTTCCTAAAGGAGCTATTCAAGACTCTGGGTCTTTTGGTAAAAACCAGAGAGAAATGCTGATGGTCAGCAGAGTGGCGGCGAGGGCCCCCCCTGTCCCTAGTCCAGCCCCATTCGAGCCTGTGCACTGTGTCCGCCTCCTCAGGGAAGGCTTCCTGGATTACTCAGCCCTGCCTGTCTTTGACATCTCCCGCTGACTGCAGCACCCCCTGGTCCTCCGAGGGCACCTTCCAGGGCTCTGGCTACTTTTGTCTCCACTGGGGAACATCATTGCCTGCTGAGGGTCCAGGGACGGTTGAAGAGCCTCCCCTAGAAGGGGCGCTGCATGAGGAGACACTGAGGTGAGACCAAAGGCAGGACTTCCTCACTCCGAGGGCTGCAGCCAGCCAAGGCAGAAAGCCATGGGAATGAAGGATGAAGTTTCTCCTCACCCCAGTGAGACCTGAAGACCCAAGTCAGGGACTGGGCTGCTTGGGACTCGCCTGAACCACTCTGGCTAGCGGAGCTCTCTGTTTAGAAGGGTTCTGGTTCATGGAGACCCAGCTGCTCCACTGTGTGGGCCTCAAGTGGACAGACGCCCAAGACTCCAACCCTGGGGCTGCTCGCTGTGCCTGGCCACACAGGCCAGCCTGGCCCTCCCCCTGCAGACCACGGGGCAGATACTCACCACCCTGCAGCATCAGTAGGAAGAGGGAGGTGGCCCATGTGAACGTCATGCTGACTCCCGGGGGCCTGGAAGAGACACACAGCAAAGGGTAGGCCCATGCCTGGGGACCAAGGAACCCTGAACAGCCTCCCTTTGGCCCAAGTCCCTCTCCATTGGAAGACTTGTGTCAGATGCTTGGATTTGTCTCCGAAAAAGCAAGAGTTTGAGAAGTCCACAGACACGCCCAAGGATCCCTGCCCCTTAGAAATGGCTGGCACGCACTGTGGACCCCTCCCCACTTCTTCCACCTTCTTCCTGCTCCCCTTACACGGTCAGGAAGGACAGGTGAATTCAAAGAGGGAGGGGCTTGCTGCTCTTCCCCCCACAGTTAGCCTATTGTGTGTGGAATTAATTATGGGCACTTATACAGCTAAGGAGGGAGAGAGGGAAGCAGGGAGAGGAAGGGAGGGACGGCAGAGGGGCACACAAGTTTGGAAAGTGGTATTTAATGAGCAGCAACCTTGAGTCTTCCTTCCCATGAAATACCCATGTGGACATTAGCCCCCCAAAATTGTCTCCATAATAAATAAAAATCCAAAGGAGACCCCCTACTGAAAACCTAAGATAAGGTTAGCCCAATAATGAACCTTCTTACTCCATCCAAAGCCCAGGTTAGCCCACGAGGAAGCACACTGGGAACTCGGACCTGACCAAAAACAGGCGACCCGGACCTCCTGCTCTGGATGAGATGGAGAAGTGACCTCTTTGGAAGACAGAGCAAGCCTATCGAGAAGGAGTGGACTTTGATGCCCTGGGCAGAGGAACGACCCACTAGGCTGGTAACACCAGGCTCTAGCTGGCATTTTGCTGGTAGTACCCCCAGCTCTGTTTCTGCTCGGGGAGGTGTCAGCCAGAGGCCAGTGAGTCCACCCGCCAGGCCCGGGAGCCACCAAGACCACCCCCATGGACAGTGGTGGAGCTGGAACTGTAGTCTAGAGGGACGACCCCTGCAGGAGCCAAGTCACACACGTGGCTTCTTTCAGACACCATCCCTGAGCCCATAGTCAGAAGGACACCCCCCCCCAGGATTCCTCCAGCTCCTACTTCACCCCCATCAAGGGCTCCCTCTGAGCTCCCGACCAAGCAGGCAGTGGTGAAGAGCACAGATGACCATCTGTGTGGCTCTGGGCCGGTCCCTTCCCCTCCCTGAGTCTTGAAGAGCTAGGAAAGCCTGCTTCCAGGATTCTTGTGGGAATTCAAACACATGATGGACAGAAAACCCTGGGCATGGTCCCTGACACAGAAACACTCAGTACACAGCTGTGATGGACATGGAAGGTAGAGACTCCAGAATGATCCAGCCGAGAGGTCCCCACATTTTTCACTTTCAAAATGTTGGCCATATTTGTAGATTGTGTGTACTATTATTTATTGAATGTTTTCCATAAAGGAAGCCGCTGAAAAATGAACTCCAACCTCGTCCTAAGCAGTCATATCCATCACTGGGCATTTTCCCCCAACATACTCTTAAAATGAATACCATTGCTATGAAAATAAGAGAATGGGGCACATCCCACTTAAACCTGCTTTAAAGAACACTGATCTCGGGGGGTCCCCAGTCCAAGGGGAGCCCTGTTGTCACCCTTCGAGGATTCAACCTCTTGTCACAGGAGACGGAGTCGGGACCTGTCCCTCACTAGCTTGTCCACGCCTGTGACCCCCACCCCAGCAGAAACTCAGGCATAGCTCTGTCCACATCAGTCCCCAGCGGCTCCATCTCGACCACAGGATGAAGCACAAACTCCCTCACCCAGATTCAAAGCTTTCTTCCCTCCACAACCTCAATTCTGCACAAAAGACACACAGGCCCCTGGGGATGGAGGGGGTCTGTGGCTTCTATCTGCCTGGTTTCTCCTCCTCTCTGAGGAAGAACTTCTCAAACTGGCACTGACTCAAACCTCTGCTCGAGAGTGGGCACCTGACCCAGGCCTCAGCCAGCACACCACCCCACCTTGCTTGGCTGCTGTGCCTGGAGCAGGAATGGACTCCAACCCCAGCTAGGCCAATGAGAGCAGTCCTGGGAATTTTACCTAGAATTCCAATAAAGAGGTACTTTTGGGGGTGCCTATGGAAACTGAGATCCATCTCCTGTCACCTCTTCGAATCAGCCTGCCTAACAATGAGGTCAGTCCCAAGAACTATAGCCCCAGCATCCCCGCGGCATCCTTTGAGGACCTGGATCCAGCCGGAGCTGATGTCCACACCTGCACTTTTCATTCACGTGAGCAGAGCAAACACCTATGTTGCTCCGCCATGTTGAAAGATGCGTTTGTTGTGTGCCACCAACGAAGCCTGGTGGGATCGAGCAAAAGGCCCAGAATTTTTTTTTT